CGATTCTGCAGCGCATCAGGTATGTTTGCCGACGCGCGCGTTGATAGTTTCCAGATTATCCTGCGCAAATGGGTAGCTTCGGTGATGCAACGCGTGCGGGACAGCACCAGCGGTCTCCTGAATACCATTCTGGAGCGGGGTAGTTTGGTCGTTAGTGAGGCATTTGAATGCGTGTCACATGCGTTCCGGAATCGCCATATTATAATATAAAATAATTAATTAAATTTCATTGTTATTAATAATAGAATAAGAAAATTGTTACTAACAAAATATGAACATTACTTTGAAATAAAAGATTATTATTATTATTATAGCCACATTGCCACGAAGAACATGTGCAGAATGCGCTTTATACTAATTTTCTTTAGTGACTTTCTTAATAATCCTAAATAGGAAAGGTCAATTTACATTTACAGGTTTTTTCTTAGTAAATTATTTATTTATTTACTTTAAAACGAATTTCTACTACGTCGTGTTACGGCGTAGACGGTGAGTACATTTCCGATTACTGCATATTTACAAAATGTTGTTCAACTATTGCATTGAATATTTAGCTTCCACTCTGTAGTGACTATGCGTAGCGTAGGCATTCGCGTTAGGAAAAAAACCATGCATTCCCGTCGCATTTGCATAAATCGCATTGTTTTCAATTAGCATTGGGATTCTCATGTGGGGTAAAGCGGCAGACATTCAAACCATATTTGTATTGCAAAAACGAGCGATTCGTTCTGTGTGCCGTTTAGGCTCTCGGGTTTCTCTCAGAGAAAAGTTTAAGGAGACTGGTATCACGACTGTGGCATCACAGTACATTTACTCAAATATTTTATATGCCCGTAAAAATATACATAATTTCAATAAGAAAGAAGATATCCATAATATTAGCCTTAGAGCTAAGTCCAAACTCATGGTACCACGATTTCGTTTAACCAAGGTAAACAATTCTTTTATATTTTAATCTTAGGAAATGATAATAAGATTAAAAACTGCAATAAAAATATTTTATTGAAAAGTCATATTACAAAATTGAAGACTACGTGTTAGATAACGATGTATGGAAAGACGACATGGCTCCAGAATCCACTCAAATTTGATTCAAAGTGTCTTCCGTAGCATTTAAGTTTATTTGAAAAGAGCAATTCCTAGAGTTTCTTGCTCGTTCTTCTCAGGGAAGTCAGCGTAGTAAACGAGCAGCAGCTTAATGTAATGAAAAGTAAATGTGACGTACTCAAGTGTAAATTTACTTTGCCTATGGAATAAATCATCTTTGACTTTGACTTTGACAAATAATATTCCATCGATCTCAAAACGGATTAAATATGTAGCTCTCAGTTTTGTAATCTTAGATTTTTATTGATTACATACCTACTTTAACTAATATTCTTACTGTGCACGTTTAAATTGCCTGAATGGAAATTGAACGTTAATGACTTTTTTAAACGTTTTAAAGTTATAACTTTTTTTATAAAAAAACCGAACTCAAAAGTTCGTGGAATTACATTTACTTGCCAAATTTTATTGAAATCGGTTACCATAAAATGCGCGAAACCAGCTGCATCCCCTAGTTTGCCACCCTTAGAGGTGGAATATATTCTTTAAGTTTAAATAGGTCCAATAGTGAGGTACCCTCTTCTAACCAAAAAATAATCACCAAAATCGGTTTACAAATGCAGTAATGCAGTAATCACGTAACATAACATACAGTCGAATTGAGAACCTCCGCCTTTTTTTGAAGTCGGTTAAAAAGTTAAATAAACTTCGAAGACGCAATTTGTGTTTTATTTTATTTATTGCTGCGGTTTTGCGCCGCCGGCGCCGTAGCATTGAAATTAAAATCACTAAGTGACTTCTCTCAATCACAGTTATTACAATAGAGAGTTGTGGATAGTAGGATCTTTTAAGGACAAACATTTCTATTGTTCTTCTATTTATTGTGCCTGATTAAAAGTGCATTACATATTTTTTAAAACGGTTCCATGTTCCGAAAACTTTATTAATGTTTGTGGATTATAATTTGAGTACGTAAATGTTAGTAATCGTTATATGCCAGCAATACCTAACTCGGTTTTTACGGCTTCTTGTTCCGATATGGTTTTGAAATGGAAACCGTCAGGTTTTACGACATGCTCTATCATTAAAACTCTAGTTAGTAATTTTTTTCTTCCTATTAATTATTTTTTAACGTGTTTGTTTGTATGTTTGTTAAATCAATCACGCCGGAACTATACATGCACCGAACAATTGCGACACAGGAAAAGGTTTGCTGCTTTTCTTTAATCTTTCTTTTATCCAACGCACTTTTACTAATAGGTAACTAGGTCTTCTTTTTACCTGATCACGACCAAGTTTAAGATATGGTCTTAGTAGCATAACTTAGTCTACAAAGTCTTACTTTATCGACTTCTACACTTCAATTCGTCTTATCCGTGATTCATAGACAAGTACCTACTATTTTTAAGGGTAATATATCCTAATAAAAATAGATATTAGGCAAAACAGTAGGTACCTACCAATACCTGTAGGTAGATATTAAATTTAAGTGATCCCGAATAACTAGTGATAGGTACTGTTATACGAAACACTGTGTGAAACAATTAGATAGATAGATGAATGGTTTATTTGTCATTTGACCTTTTGTGAATCAAAGTCAGTTGAAAGTTTCGCTCTAGTCTTACAATTTGCAGCAGGCACTTTTCAACTTAGTCGGGTTTTTCTTTTTTCACATTTATTAGTAAATATTTCGCGATTGGCACAAATTGACTTCATGTTACTTGATACAGTAAGGTTTTGAAGAGAGGACAAGTGCTGCACGCTGCGTCTGTGGTGGCTGCGCGGTGGGGTGGGGCCGGCCTGAGAGCCGCGCGACCATTTCATGGCCCCGCCGCGCCATTTGTACCACTTGCCCATTCTCAACGGTCGACTCAAAGCCGCGCAGGCGCAGCTCCACTCCGTTTTTAATTACGTCTGCCCGGAGCTCCAGTCTCACCGCCGGCGGCACAGGCGCAGGCGACGGCGTCGAATGTCATTTTAACAGCCTTCATATTATTTTTTGCTCCCGCGCTTTCTGCGCGCGCGCAGCTCCGTGGTCATAAAATTTGTTATTAATACAGTAAAATTTCGGATTAGGTAGTATTAAATTCGAAACAAAGCAAGGATTTAATTGGTAATTCGTGTCCGGCGCGATATTTGTTCGAGGCCGCAATATCCGTTTATTGTTTTCGGTTGTAAACTCGATTCGGCGCGGGCGCACGCAGCTCAGCCGCACAAACAAATTGAAATATTTCAGTAAAAATGATGCAGTACACCGTACCGTGATGAATTTTTTGATTTAACACTTAAATGCATCCGAGGGCACTTACCTATCGACTCTAATACTTGCCACTATTACGGTGAACGGTACAGTCATTGGCGGTTTGGCGGAAAATATACGATATCTATATACTCTACTTTATATATATTTATTGTATTTTTTTACTTCGTAATTTTTCTTTTAAGATTATAGTGATGGGGAGATACTTGTCAAGGATGTTTACAAAATAAAACGTAAAAGGAAATTGAACAAACCAATTTATTGCCCCCGCGCGCTTCGCTACAACAACGCGACCATGACGAGGTAACGCGTCGCAAAATTCGCTGACAACGCCCGCAGAGAATGTGAAAATAATTATATAAATACTACATCTAAAAAAATTATATACAAAATGAACTGAAATAAAACCTGACGTTGACGTATGATGCCATAAAACTTTAATTTCTATCAACGACACAAACATTTCGCGATGTTTCAAAATGACTTCGACTTATAACACATGTCTTCGGTATAGCAAAATAAATGTAAACGATATGTATATTATTAAAATTACACAGAAGACGCAGTTAAGTACAAACGTGACATAAAGATAAAACCTTCATGACACGTCGACATTGAAAAAATACTTATTATAAAACATTTTTCACTACTTAAATAAAACATTAAGTTAATCGTGCGCATATTGAAGACACTTAAGTACCCATGGCGATTGCGTAACTATTCATTACAATTATTTACATCATTCGACTAAGCATATACTCTGAATCATTCTCTGATAATAATAGAGATTATGCCCTCGTGTTGCTTATCTTTCTATCTTCTTACATCACTATGTACATTAATAATACTTTTATAAAATATAATTGCTCTTCTTATAAATACACTTCATTTTAAAATAACTTTGCGCACAAACTGACCAAAATGAAAGCATTTAAGTTAGAAACATAATTTTGTGCTGTGATTTCAACAATCGCTTCAAAAAAGGCAAGTGATAATGATTTCCAGGTATTCCAGAATTTGGTGCCGACCTTTGGCCAGTTTACTCGCAAAATAGTCGCTTGGTATTCTGACAGCTCTCTAGTTCAATCTAGCCGTACGCACACACTCAATTCATTTGTAGCCATCTGTTTTTGAGGATCCATGATGACATGGAGAAACGATGATTTCATGTTATCAAAGTTATTGCCGTCATCGGGCAATGAACCTCCATTGCAAAAGAATTAAGTTCATTTCCTTGCATAAAGCAAATAAGACAATCCAAAAATGCGTAGGTATTCACGACTGCCTACAAACCAGAAAAGCAGCAAAATGACACAATATTCTCACAGGCACTTTCCACTCCTATTTCACAGTCTTTTCAAAAGCATCCGAGCACCGTCGGTAATCATCGGCGCACCCGCGCGCCACTACAGAAAATGTACATGGGACCACTTCATTTTCGCTACAGATACGTACGAACTGTAATAATAATTTTTTTACAGTACAACAACAAAAGTTTTGTTTGTCCAAAAATAATAAACACGGTAGGTTTCCTTTTTTTTTAGCCCTGTTAACCTCAGTCGTGGTGAATGTTCATCGATCCCACGGCGCCGAAGCAACCGGCGAGAGGGAAACCCGGGGGGATTTTAGTGGGGTAGGCCCTCCAGTCTGGTGGGAGAGTCCCCACATAACCCCTGAGTCTCCCTGGGCTCAGGAGTATCCGCAAAGATTTCACCCCCTCAAAAAAAAGGCTCTTAAAAGGTTAACCTCCACGATTTAGTCGCTTGATGTCTGGTTAATTGTACCGTAGTAACTCCATGTCGTGCGGGAAACAGCCTGCAGCGAATTGTAAATTTTCCATTTAATTTGACAACGATACCGTTTGTACAAACTGTAGCTAGTGGCCACTCATACGTGACGTCAGGAGGTAGACGTTGAAGTGACATTGCACAGATTGGCAGGGAGGAGGGCGGCAGGTAATGCCGGCGGGTGCGGTGGCGGTCAGAGCGCAGCGTGCGCGTGCGCGTGGTGCGGATGCTGTTGGTGCGGGTGTGGCAGCGCGTGCGGGTTGCCCGTCGCATGCTGTCGGCCCTGTGGGGCAAAGAGTGCCTGCTTTATAATAACTGAAAAAGGTATTTCGGACTTTTGTTGACATTCTTCTAAGTAATTCTAATAAGGAATTCTGATGAACTGACATTTGTGAGAATTCAATTTAAGTGGTCAAGTTGATTCTTTCGTTGTGAATTTACCTGTAGATAAACATAATAATCGTAGGGCTGGTGCAGCGGCCAACAGCGCTGCGGGGGGACTGGGTAGAGCGGGGGCACGGGGTAGAGCTGCCCGCCGCCTAGCTTGTTGCGCAGGATTCGGCTGATGGAGGAGACGGAAGGCACGTTGTACTTGTCGCAGACACCGTCGGCCAACAGCCGGTCGCGGATCTCCCACGCAAAGATGCCTGGGTCTTTCGCTTTAAGCTGTTTTATGTATGATACGACCTATGGAGGGAAAACAAGTTAAGTTGGGACTCGTGTTTTGCATGTAAAGTAGATGTTCTCTTAAAAACATTTCCAAGAATTTTCGCCCTTTTTTGTACATAATTCCCAAAGAATAGAAACGCGACAATCCGTAGATAGTACAAACTAGGAGGAAAGTCAACACTCAAATATAAAATTACTGTACCTTGGGCGTGGTGACACGCGGCTTCGAGCCGCCGATGGCACCGGGTAGGATAGAGCCAGTCTCGTGGTAGCGCGCCAGGATCTTGGAGACGCAGCCGTGCGACACGCGCAGCTGCCGACTGATGTCGCACGGCCTAACGACACAAATAACTGGTAAGTGCATCTATCTTTGACAAATCTGAAGACTAAAGAAGTCGGTAAATAAGTCAGTACTTTATTCTTGTTTTAACCAGTACTTAGGTCGCTATCAATGGAAGCCTACCTGATGCCGAGCTGCGCGAGCTCGACGATGCGCAATCGCACGGCGTTGGGCAGCGGGCGCCCGTTCACGAACACGCCGCCCAGCTGGTTCACCTCGCCGTACTGCGCCGCGCTGCCGCCCACGCCGCCGCCGCCCATCGCGCCGCCGTTCGCCTCTGCCATTTTATAATCATAATTACAAAAAGGTTGATCCCTTCGGGCGTATTTCGTACAAAATTATTATGATATAATATGAGTATATGTGGATGTGAGCGTCGCGCACTGTATTAAACAGCAACTTCATAGCGATGTGACAACCACTGGTTCCCGCCCTCAATGTCTTACACAATGAACGATTGTGTAATATCAGGACCACCTTGAGCTACTTGGTTTGGACTTATCATCCAACCTCAACTATGGGCGATACATCGAGTGCTTGGCAAAAACTGCTGTCAGAAAATCAGGCATACTTTACAAGGTCAGGCGGTACTTCACACCTGAACAGCTTTTAAATCTGTACAAAGCACAAGTTCGATCGTGTATGTAATACTGCTGCCACCTTTGGGACGGCTCTGCCCATTACCAGTTAGCTGCCTTGGATTCGGTGGAGCGAAAAGCAAAGAGAATTATTAACAAAATCTCGACCATCGCAGAAAAGTAGCCTGCTTGTCGGTTTTCTATCGGGTACATTTCGGGGAGTGTGCGCAAGAACTTTTCAATTTAGTTCCACCCTCACCGTTCCTCCTTCGGTCAACTAGAAGGTCCGGAGCACTCCATTCTTATGTCTTTGATATTCCACCTATTCGCATTAAGCGCTTTGTTTTCTCCTTTCTGATGCGTACGGCAAAGGAATGGAATGCTCTACGGCATCTGTATTTCCCGAAAAGTACAATTTGGGGCTATTCAAGCCTAGAGTGAATAGGTATTTTTTAGGTAAACGCGTTCCATCGTCGGCCACATCGTCGCTTAACATCAAGTGAGATTGTGGCCAAGCGCGTGTCTATAAAAAAATGTCTTACTCAATCTGTTGTTCAAAAGCAACCGTAAATGTAGAAACTACTATCTCGCGTTCAGTTATTCTTTCCATCTCGCCAGTGAAATCGAAGGTCCACGTTCGTCGTTTTCATGTTTGTTCCCTTATAAAGTTAGCTTAATTTCTTTACAACCAATGGGCGCAGATGCTAAAGAACATACCAATACATGTAAACTTGTTCCTTTGATTCATACTCTTACGAGACTTTTAAAATTACAGTTTGGAATTGCCTACGCGTATCTCGTAAACGTAAATGTACATAACGTATAAAACATGGGCACGCATGTACAAATGTTTGGCGAGCATAAAACATGGTTGCGCATGTAACAGCCGAGACTTAAATTCGCTTTTAAAATTAAACCAATCCAATCTGCATGTGTCGAGGCTAATAATAGTTTTCAATTAAAATTCTTTAATTAATTTAATCGCGTCACCGCGCGGACTGGCGGCCACATGTCGCTGGTGTCGTGACATCGACGACATGCGACACTCGGACACTCGATACTGCGCGCTTTGATGTCGCCGTATATCGCGATTTTGTTTCGTAGTATCGTAAAATTTGGCTCTTAGACACTGAAATGGCTTATGGCGATGGCGAGTGGTAAAAACAAACGAAAAACAACTATGCACACACCCAAATAGCAAAGTGGCGAGATTGTTTTTTAAATATTTTACGACCACGCCGAAATCGTTTTTCAAACAAACCACAAGAAGCTTTGAGAGAGCGGTACGCGTGCGCAGCTCGTATTGCATCCGGCCAATAAAAGTTACAACTGTCAAGTCGCGTCACTTACGTTAGTTGCGGCGTACCGGGTGACAAGTGTCATAGCTAGTGACAAGCGATGGTGACATAGTTTGTCTCTGATGTTTTATTACTTTTACTATTGTGGAAATATACGATAGATATTGAACAAATCTTACTTTTGTGAATGACACAAGGTGACACAAAAAGTAAAATAATGCGTTTACCTAATTGATAAAAGTGGCACAGTAACCGATAGGACATAAGCATGAAGTCCCAAAAAGTAATTTAAAAATAGAATAGAGATCGAAATCTCATCCAGGTCATGATTAAATTATAATTATAATAATAATACTGCCACTGCTGGAACAAAGGCCTCCTACACAATTAGAGGGTTTGGGCTGTAGTTTCTACGTGGATCCAAGGCCGATTGGGAACTTCATATACATATTAAATTTTGCAAATTTGTGCATGCCTGGATTCGGACCCAAGACCCCCTGCTTAAGAGGCGCTTGATCTTTAACTTTAACTTTTTGTAACTTTCAAGTCCATCGGTTACAGTCAAGAGAGCACCAAGATTAGAACGTTAGACTTTTTAATAGGTATTATATAATATCAAGTGACGGGACAAGCGAAGTAGTAACCGACACGCACGTTAGTGGCAGTACCGCTCAGAGTTTTAAATCGAAAGATCTGAGGGGCGCAGCGGCAGTCCACTGCGCCCGTCGTCTGAGACTTAAGTTGACTAGTCCCATGTGCCTGTCATTTCAACAGCACCCTTACCCTTCAAAATAACGGAACGCATTATCCCGACATTACTGCTTGGCGGCAGAAATAGGTAAGGCAGAAATAGGGAGTACTTCCGTGGACGAACTCTTTCCAAGAAGCTCTACTGCTACTAAATTAGACCGCCCTTATTAGATTATTAGATTTTATTAGATTATTATTTTGTCTAAAATATTTTGAATCGCGAAATAAACGAAAGAATTAGATTTATTTTCAACATGCATAATACTTTCTGAGAAAAACAGCATTGAGATGCTGGCTGGCACCGACGTCTCACCAAGTTCCTTCTTCATTTTCCGTTTAGATACCTACGCAATTCTAAAAACTAACGTAGTGAATTTAGTGAAAGTTATTGTGTCGATGTTATTGATGTCATTTTCTATCATTATTTACCCTTTACTTAATGAGCGGTAGTATTCCACGTCCATCACCGGTCCGCAGACAGGCGGGAGAGGGGCGGGTAGTTATGGAAAGACCGCTGACAAATTGCGCGGGCGTCTTTGACGGAGGGCAATGTGGTGAGCAAAACAACGGTGTACGTGTTTCGTCTTACTGATTTATATTTATTACAGGGCACTTCAATGTACAAACTGAGACCAATTCATTGCAAATACATGCATCAGACTGAGTTTTTCATAATTTTACTGTAGCTTTGAATATTGAAACCTAATAACCTAATTTCAAGAAATCTACATTATGAGAATCAGAAAAACGAAAGATCTTTATTTTCTGTAATGGTGCCTGTTCATTACCGTCGTTTTTGTTGAATCGTGTTCTAAAGTCCCAAGTTGAGTTATTAACGCCTTTTACCTATGGTTTGACTAGTTTGTAGAAAAAGCTGTAGCGCCGGCGCGACGGCGCGTTAGAAGCTGCGCGGGCGCATGGGCGGGGCAGACACGGAGGACCATGTGTGACAATACAGGGACAGGACACACTTGGCCACTGCTTTAATGGCCGTGTTTTAATTTATTGTTGGCAGGATTAAATTAAGAAACCCAAAAATGTAAACTGAGAAAGAAAGAACATTTAGCGAATACGGATCGCGCCTCTTATCTAAGCATTAATGAACCTTATCTCCATTCGAGTTAGAAATCTTCCAAGGGAAAGGTAAGTTCTGTTTAAAAACGACCGAAAATTTGGCACATGGACTTGGTCGCGGCGTTTTACTGCCCTAATCCTTTGATGTGCAAGCGCAGCGACAGCGTGACATGCGGTCGGTTCGTGGAAGCGCGTGCGCGGTGGCAGCCACGTGTTGCGCCCGTGTGTGGCCGCCACAGACGCTGTGGCTGCTACTAATGAGCAGTTTTATGATCCGAGAATCTCGTGAAACTTTCAGTGGCAATGTGGTATTCAAATTTTTATTATAAGTTTGGAGTTGTTATTCGCTTCTTTGCTTTTTATGGTCCATGATATCCACATCGTAGAAGGTGACGAAGAACATGTTAACTGCAAATTCTAATATTTTGCGCACGAACGTCACTCAAATCAATCTGAATTCTTTTTCACCTGAAACAGTATCACAGATTTAATTAGCAGCTTCGCGTGCGGAGGACCGAGACAAATGGATTGTCACGCGTATTCGCGGCTTCGCGCGTCGCCCTCGGCTGGACCGCGATTATTGCCAGCTAATGAGTGTTAAGTGTTGCCAGCGCTAATGCTGCTAAAATTGCATTACGTTGCACTCAGAGCTTTGTATTTGAGGAACTACCACCGCAATTTGAACCATGTAAATTGCAGTAATAAACGGAGAAACGATTTGTGCTTATATAAGGAATAAGGTAACATAAAGGAAATTTCGCCGTTATTATTGCAGCTGCAGGTTTAAAGAAGTTTATTTCACATAACATTTCCACTGAAAAAATATCCACCGGAGGGAATAATATTTTCTATAATTTGTATAAAATAAAACTGGATACGAAATGCTGTGGCGACTGGATGAAAAAAATTTTATACATTTTAGTATCAGGCTATATGGAGGCGACGCAGAACACGTTACTATGTTGTCTGGGAAGCTTTTTTCTTAACCTCCCTCTACGATGTGACTTCATGTCGCTCCGATTGAGTCATAAGAAAAAAGGACAGTCTAAAAACCTGGACGTTAATTGTAGAGTCAAGGGTACAGCAAAGAAAGTCGAAGACTCGACTTTTGCAGTTCTACTCATGATTGAAGGAACTTGAGAATTTGAGGACTGAGCCGTTTTGAGTGCGGCAATATCAAATGTGTGTAGTTTATTTTATTCTTTACGGCAATCGCAAAAAGCATGTTTTGCTGTAACTAGTGGCAGTCGAGTCGAGCTCAGTTGCATCCGCGCTCATCCAGCGCCAAGCCTCGCCAAGTCTCGCCATTAGCCTGTAGCGGTTTTATATCGTATAAGGAAATTTTAAATTCATACACTTCAAAATCTATGAAATGTGTGTAGCGAAACATTTGTACACCACATGGTTGAAGCATCCTGTGGCTGGACGGCTACTTCTATTCTATTTAGCAAACGTGATAAGGAGACTATTACCTGAACATGTTTCAATCGTTTGACGTACGAGTATAGCATTAGGAGTCGATACAATCTCAAATGGCTTTGGTTGATTCGCATAACAGTGAAAGCGTTGAATCAATC